TCCCCCCACCAACCAAATTGTGCAGCTCTGCAACTGCATCCTGGCCCATCCTCACCCTTCTGCCCCCAACCCTCACCTCCTTGTACCCCCAATATGTTCTTCCCAATTAAAAAAAATGGTCAACATCATGCTGAATGGCCAGTTGATGTGTCGTGTGGACAAAATGTGGAATTGGTGCCATATTACTACCAGGTTTGAACTCTGGCTCCTGGTATTTATCTAAGAAGGATTTTTGTAAAAAATTTATTTTCTGCCCCAGAAAATTGAATATAGAAGGTTTGTTGTGAAGATGGGAGATGACTGAGGCAGACACATGGAAGGCATCGTAACCCCTAGGTCTTTGGGTGGCATAGACATTTTATACTTGACTGCAAACAGAGAAGCTGTCGGTTTGAACCTTCCCAGCAACACAAGGGGAGGAAAAGGCTTGGCAATCTGCTTCCATAAAAATGACCATCATGTGAAGCCTACAGAATAGAGCAAGTCTATTCCAGAACACATGGAGCTGCCTTGAATCCGATCAACTTGATGGCAACAGATTTTGTTTGCTTGTTTCAGAAGCCACGACGCCAATAAGTTACTGAGAGGAAACTATGAGCCATACACGGAAGAGTCGTTAGAAGCTATCAGATGTGTTCCAATTCATTGCGACCCTATGTGCAATGGAGAAACGATAGGAAATTAGTCAGCATGCACTGCGAACAACTTTTCAGGCCCCAGTGTTCACATTATGAAACCAAATTGGTCATTAAAATTAATAAGAGATTGGACCTGAGAAGATTTCTATTTAGCACATAAAGCTGTTTCTTGCCTGTATAAATACACAACCCGTAAGTGAGACTACTACCGGCATCCACTAGGTGGTAGCAAAACATAGCCCACTACTGTGCACGTGGCATTGCCATTCTTTCCAGGAGCATCCTTCTCAGGGTGCAGAGCTGGAAGGAACTCTTGAGATACACACAGCGTGAGGACAATGACAAAAGATTAGAAGCCAGATTAACTCAAACAAGCATGGTTAATTAGAGGAAACTGGTCTTCTGACCTAAGCCAAGGCTCCTTTGCTTCCACTCTCAGGGAGACCAGGCCACTAGGTCCTCAGATACCTCTGCCTCTGGGTGTAGACTGTATGGGAGATTCTCACTTCCTCTCTGGAATTTAGGGTTACCCAGGTCTGCTTGGTTTAGAATTCCTCTGAAAGGCTGGCAAGAAAATGTGTTCTTATGGGGGTCTTTGGTAACTCGTTTTCTCAGTATGAAGACTGAAAAGACTTGGAACTGTTTAATTCACATGTTGTTTTGTAACATTAATCACAATATACACTGTGTAATTTCACTGTTCTCACTCTCTCCCTATAATCTGCGTTTCCGTTAGGCTTTCTGTCCTACGCCTTCCTGCCTCCTGGGATTTATCCTGGGACAAATGCTGTGCTTTTGGCCCCGTGGTTGGTTATTCTGAGGGGTGACAGCCTCCGTGGGTTTCCTGGTCACATTATAGGCCTATTGTTTCGCTGAAAGCTGAGTTTTGACGTGAACTTTGTGCAAGGTTTGCAGGGTGATTAAGGTCCATAGTCTTGGGGTTTCCACCTGTTTCTTTTGGACCAGAAAGCCTGGTCTTTTTTATGGTTTTGTTCTGCATAAACCCCCACTCTATCTAGGCTGGTTAAAGGAACCATCTAGTCTTCTGAATTCAGGGTTGTAAAAGTTGAGGTTCACCTGGTCAGTTGGTCCTTTGGACCAATTGTTTCCTATAATATTTCCTTCCCATTCTTTGTAACATAATTAGAAGAAAACAATAGTTGCCACTTATATGGCTGCTTAAAAGCTTTTACGACTAGTTATTACTCACTAAAGTAGGATATAGAA